TTGCTCTAATGAGTATTGTCCTTATAGTATTTACAGCGTAAGGCTCAAACATTTACCACTTAACTGTGGTATTTTCTTTGCCTTGTTGTCTCTACATAGAGCCTATTTCTGGCACACTGCTGATTCTCGAGACCTGGCAACTTGGTTGTAATTCCCAAAATATTAGACAGCCTTGATTCCTTTTAATGGCTAATACTTTATGACAGATGTATTTAAGTAATTCAAGTTATTTGGTAGAAAAGAACAAACTTTCATTTCACATGTTCTCCTTCAATGCAAGCCTTCAATACCCTGAAATCTACTGAGGTACAACAGTTTATAAATGCCCTGAAATCGAGGTACAACAGTTTATAAAAGCCCAGATCCAACCCAGTTACAGTTAATTGCTTATCCAGTGTCAGAGCCTTGTCGCTGTAGCAACTACTACCTGTATGGAAATGGCTTTCAGCTTGCGATCCAAAGAATCCTGTATGTGTGGTCAGCTATGGAAAGGTATGACAACTAAGAAAAATAAGTTTATTGTCTGTAGGTTTAAGTAATATGAACCTCAGTCCTTATCTCTACTGGAAGAGTCATGATGAGTCCAAACACTGGCAGGGGAGAATCAAGATAATGCTTCACAACCAAGAGGAGAGGGTAGCTAAAAAAGGCAGCTCAGCCCACCATCTGAATCACTGGAGGCATCTATCACTTTCCATCATCAATTAAGGGAACTTTGGCCGAGTAGGCTTCTAATGCAGATATCCTAAGTTAGCTTCTAATGTTAGGTGGGCTGAATAAAGCTCTATACTTCTATGGGGACTTTTTGGTACTCAGAATAAACCACAGTTTCTTAAAATAATGTCCACAATTAAAAAAAGGTGATTCCCTTAAATTTGTGTGATATTCGACAAGAATAAATGAGAGGTGTGACGTATGTGAATTATCCAAATTTCTTGATTCTTATGCTTGCCTCATAGGGAAGAGGAACGAAAAGCTCATTTCAACTTTACTTTCAAAAATCAATTTGCTCTGGGAAAAAAATATATGTTCATAAGCCATTAGTGTACAGGTCTCATTCATTCTGTACAGCAGTGGTCAGTAGCCAGGACTGTGACACAACCCAAGAGTAAGGAATGATAGGTAACACAAATTTATTATGGAAGGTGTTAATTCCAGCATTGAGAACAATTTTTATTATATTTATGTGTCATTTTATGACACATACACTACCTGAAACACTTAACAACGTGACTGTAATAAGATTAGTTTTTAAACAGATTTAATTTGTTTGATGTAAACAACACTTTGAGGCTTATTATAATGCAACAAATGAAGAACAACACCTTCTCTTAATCACTCTTAATAAAAGGATATTTGTAGCAGATTGTTTAAAACTGTATTTCTTTTGAATAATTACCCAGATAAACATGCAGAGCAGCAAACAAATAAAATCTGACAATCCTAAAATAAGATCCAGTTACAGAAAATAGCAAACCAAAATAAGATTCTTGACACTTAAACTCTAAGATTTTAGAAATTACCACTTCCAGCAAGGCTGAGTCTCAGAGGGACACGTTTCACAAAGTCATTTTTATGCTATGAGGGTTGGTAAAACTGTTATGAGTTGTCTTCTATAAACCCAGTGCATGGATCAAGTGGCTCATGCCTTTTGCATGCATTCACTTCCAGCATCCCCACCTGGCAATTTTATGTGAGTGAACATAAAATTTATTTGAGGTGTTTGGACTTGGGATCTCAAAATCATTAGTCCCCTTTTGAAAATCTTGGCCCTGGATTTTTCATTAATGAATCAGCCTTTGGATATAAATGCATAAATACGTTCCGCTCAAAGAAAAGCTGGATCTGTCAGTTACAGATGTGTGGCTAGTCACAGCAACATGTTTGGAAGTAATTGCATTCTTCATTGCAATGTGTATGACATCTGTCTCTACGTTCATTTTCTTTGATGTGCTTCTTTTCATATTTCTTGCTAACAGAATATTTTTGTAGTTTTGGGGGTTTCTTCTCCTTCTTGGAAAAGTTTATAGTCCTTTTCAAGGTGACAGCTGAAGCCATTTTTTCTTTCTCAGATGCAACAGGAAAAATGTCCTCACTCTGCTTTGGTATAGGCTGCTACCTTTTATATAGAAAGAAAGAAGAAAAGCTAATTTAAGATTTTTGTGAAATGAAGATAGACATGTCAATAACTGAGTCTTTTTATTCACTTTTGCAATAGCGTATTTTATATCTGGTGATTTGCTAATTCTTGAATTTCTGTCCATCCCTTTGAATGTGCAGATACAAACTTTCTTCAGATAATCCTTCGCTATGACTAAGAACAACCTTCACAGAAGGTAAATTAATCCAGCCGCTATTTCTGGTTTTGGTAGGTCTGTCTAAGTCTGGATTTGACTTTACTACATCATACTATACAAGATAGTAGAGATGGAGTCTGAGTATGATTCAGCCCTCATCAAGACTGCGAGTGAGCTAATATAGTGTAAGCAGTACATCTGAATTGCAGATGTGGCAGTACCTAGAGCCCCAAATAAAAAAAGAGGTTTATCTATTCAGAGCACCATTTTTGGACCTGTCAAAAAGACATAATTTTCTAAATGACTTTTTGCAAAACATAAATAAACACCAGGACTCCTGGGAACCTTGGTTTTCAGACAGTTACCAACTTATGTTAGAAAAGAAGTGCAACGGTGCATTGTGTTTTAGGATAAATAAATGTGTGCTGCTGCTAGGAGGCAACTTAAAAGTGGTCTAATTACAACCCTAACACTTTTCTTTTCTGATTTCATCTTCTTCTGATAGCAAAAACAATCGCCAAGATTTGGTTCAGGATAGAAAAAAAAAAATACCTTGAGTAGCCATAAAACTGGAGACTCTCCTCTTTTTATCTATGTGAAGAATTATTCACAGATCTAGCTAACCTAGAGACAGGTCTTTTTTAATTAAAGCTTAAGCATCTCAAAGAATCTTATTTGAGACAGGAGAAGGCTGAAGGACTGCAAAGACCTCTTGAAATTCAGGCACCAAAAGGTAAGCTTAAGGCATCTCAAAGAATCTTATTTGATACAGGAGAAAGCTGAAGGACTGCAAAGACCTCCTGAAATTCAGGCACCAAAAGGTGCATGAATGAGCATGAGAAAATAAATATTTTATTATTTTCTTCCAGTCTTTTTTTTTTTCCCTTTTTTTTTTTTTACCTGCTGGACAAGCCTATGTGACATGTAATAACTAAATTTAGCACAGTTTTACCACGAGAGGGCAGGAATGCTTATGAAACAGGTTTGCCACTGGCTGTTCCACCACTTCGTTAGGAGGCTATCCAGCATGCTTTCCCTTCTGTTGGTGTTATGTGTCTAAGCATGTACCCCGAGCACTTAATAACATGACAAAATGCTTTGACCCAACAGGCTGACCTGTCATTAGTACAGCAGATTAAACCCCCTGGATGGTCGTGGGGCTCAGGGGCATGGCTGAACTGCACCTGTATAAGGCTAACAGCAAAATCAGAATTCCTCACTCTGGACTGACAAAGGGAAACAGCCGTGCCAATGCAGCAGGCTTGCCAAGAGAGGCCGGCAGGTACATAGATGTGAATCGGTGCCTGTTTTATTCCTTATGGTGCGTACCAGAAGCAAGAAGGAAGACCTTTAGAGAGATTTTTTTCATTCCATATTAGGAGTACTGGCTTATTTATGAATGATATTTAAGCTTTTCTGTGAGACTAATTTTGATCAGACCATAACCTTAGCCAGATATGAACAGTAGAAGACTGTACTGGACCAAATACTGCATAGAAAAGTTCCAGACTATTATTAAAGTGAAACAGATTTGTATAGAAGGTCTTAGTTAACTCATAAACAATTTATAAACTGAAGCATTTAGCAGAGCCTGATTAAAGGTTTTAATTCTTGTAACTGTTTGCCAACAAAATATAGTGTTTCACTGTTCCCAAAACCATGTTTTGGAATAAAAAATCTACCTTGGAGCCACTCAGAGTTGTAAGATTTTAATCAGCTAAAATTAAGCTCAGTAACATAAAAGGAAATATACTATATTTTTGCTGTCACATTAAGTAGTTTATTTTTTTCATGGCAAAGTTTTTTACCATGAAGCAAATAGATGGGGGGTTGTAATAGTGACCAGATAAACTATATTCAATGAGAACAAACAGAAAAAAATGAAAAAGTAACCTTACTCTAGTCATAATAACCTTACTCTAGTCGTAAAAGATTTATACAAGTTATTTTCCATTAGCTGTGCCAATTAAATCGTGCTTTTACTATGCCCTCCTCCAGAATTCCAGTTGTCTAAATCTGAAGATTCTTCACTACTTCCACCATTGGGATATAAAGGTGTTTCCCCAGCCATAAAACAGAAAAGGTCATTGCCTTCCTATTGTGTGGCTTGGCTGTCTCCTACGAGAAGTTGTTGACTTATACTTAGAGGGTTACATACCCTCAGGACATCTATGTTCTCAGTGTCATTTTATGAATCTCTGTTCCCCAGAGGTTTTCAGACGCCATGCTGCAATGGTATACTACCTGGGTGACTAGGTAGAAAAGTAGGACACCCTACAGGATTTCCCCATTCAGTGATTCAGGATTTATTTCTTTGGGTTTTAAATAGCCCTACAGTGTATGGCTCTTCCCAAAGCCCCACAGCATGCAAGGGAAATTCAGCCCAGACTAAGCAACAGCCAGCCACTCAGATTCTTGCTGAAAAAGTAAAGGACATAGCTGGACAACATGCACTAATATAGAAATAGGCAAATGGCATAAGGGTAAAAGCCTCTGTTTTGTGTGTTTTAATCAGCATGGACAGAAAAATCACAGGACTTCTGCATAAGCCATGCAATCCCTGTGCAAGGAGATCACCCTATAACCTCTTGAAGTCAGATTTTGAATCTATGAAGAAGGACAGGTTGTATTTTAAGGAGAATATAGCCCATGAACTTCCAAAGGAATGATTCTTGCCCAGGGCCTCATGGAGTTACACATGTGGAAAACCCGCATCATGTTTTGATCAAAGACCAGAAGGAATGACTTATTGTCTTTCCTTTCTATTGTATTTTCTGTAGCATAAGGATATAACAGGTGCAGTGCCTAAGTCTGGGTGAATTTAGTGGTTTGGGTTTTTTTTAGCTTCTACTAGGGTTATATAGCAAAGAAATGGCAAAAGAAAACTTGGATTATTGTTCTTTGCTTTCCCTTTTTTTCATTTCAAGATGTACACTGCAAAAGAAAGTGAAAATAGAGATCATTTTTGTTCTGTCATTTCTTTTTCTGTTAACTTTTGAACAAAGACAACATTTTGGACACGTTTATGGCCTTGTCTTTGATCCCTTATTCATGTAATTAATCTACTCACCTTTACGTCAATTCTGGTTGTAGAAATCACTTTGTTGATTTGTTGCTCAGTGTCTTTCCCATTAAATGCTGTTCTAGAGAGATCAAATAGGATTTAACAGGATGCAAACTCTCCAGCAGAAAATCACCAGGCAAAAGCCTGTATAGGGTGCAGAGCTACAAAAACCTCTCGTCAGGCAGGCCACATATGGTTAATGTTATTAAAATTCTAACTTGCTATCAGACCAATGGAAGCACCAGGTGTTTCAGAAATTTTTTTGTGACAACAGCACCTATTCCAAATTGCTGCCCACAAGAACCTTACCCCTACCCTTCTGCTAATCTCACAGTCTGCAAAAACATCATGTGAGATTAAGAAATTTAATATTTTCTATGCAGAGTTCTGTTCCTTGAAGATAAATTAAACTTCTTCCTAAAATATAGTTACTTTACTGCAACACAAAGACACTTGAAGAAATGCCTCAGTGGACTGTCTCCGGTGCTAGAAGTAGTTTAGATGTTGCAGGATTTTATCTCACCTGAACAGTGCTGGCCTAATACAGGTTATGGGGATTTTTATAAAGTGGTAGATTTTGGAAAGCTTTTAAATTCACAGGTGCAGAATTGTATATTAACCATCTCCTATCAAAGCAAAACCTGAGCAAGCACCTGTGTCAGAAAGCTGGAGCTGATGGCCAATTTAAAATAGCCTGAGTTAAAACTTCCTTGAGGAAGATGCTATTTAATCCTGTCCTCTGCCATACAGGTGTTTATGGAGGCAGAGAGCGGGGAAGGAGCCCCAGTCCAAAACAGCCAGCACAATGGTAATCCTCTCTCAGCAGAGCACCAGGCTTAGGTTATTTACAGTATTTAATAACCTACAGCCTGAAAAGCCTGTCAAGGTCTGTTGTTTTGTTTTGGGTGTTTTGCTTTTTTTTTCACTTGAGTGTGTGTGATGGTTTTTAGTTTTGAAAGAACTACATTGTTCTAAAATTTGGAATTTATTATTATATACACAAATGTAATTTCCTAAAATACTAGGTTCTCACATCCAACCTCAGTTAGAAGCTTTCAGATCAAAATGTATATAACATAACAGTCATTTCTGATATTATCTGGTTTTCCAATAAATCAACTGCTTTTCTGAACCAGTGTTGAGCTGCTGGTTTTAGAGAACTATGATCCACCATGATTTTCAGATATTGCACCTTAATAATTCAACTTTGTGCTTCTTTATTGTGTAATTAGGAGTAATTTTCCTTTATGCATTACAGTGTACTTGTCTATTATTTTATCAAAATTGTGAGATCTTTCAATGACTTTGCATTCTAGGTTTTAATAGCATTTAATAATGCACCTTGCAATAAGTATTTGTGAAAATACAGGTACAAAGTTGTCGTGGTTTAAACCCAATAATGCACCTTGCAATAAGTATCCCACGGGTTGAGATAAGAACAAGTAACTAAGGTATAACACAAATCACTACTGCTACCACCAATGATAATAATGATAAAGGAAATAACAAGGGAAGAGAATACATCATCTTCGATAACTTGCCCCCCAAGCCCGACCAAGCTCTGACCGATACCTCCTCCAACCCTGCAGTCTCCCAGCCCTTCCGGCTAACTCCCAGTTACATCCTGGGCATGACGTGCTGTGGTATGGAATACCTCTTTGGTCAGTTTGGGTCAGGTGTCCTGTCTCTGCTTCCTCCTGGCTTCCCCTCCTCCCTGGCAGAGCATGAGGCTCACAAAGTCCTTGGCCAAACCAAAACATCCTTGTTATCAGCTCTGTTCCCGAGCTGGAAGTCAAAACACAGCTCTGCACCAGCTACCAAGAAGGAGAAAAATGACTGCTACTGCTGAACCCAGGACAAAAGTGTATGTTCTCTGTTTATTTGCCTAGTATCTTTCAAGCAAGAGATTTGTGAGGTCTAGTTTTCTTTCACAAGAATGTTGTTAATTTTTCCCTGTTGCATCCTATACATTTTTATGTCTGTAACTTCAGTTTTATTATTTTTTTATTAGTTAGTTTGAATGGAATTTATTAATTGCAGTTCTCAGCATCTCTTCGTAAGAGTCAGACTTTCATCTTCTCGTGCTCCTTGCACACTGACGTGAAGGCATGTTATATACTCATGGAAATCTCTATAAGAACAAGAGATAGTACAAGATAGTGGGAGTGCACAGCCAGAAGTGAGGTAAAGAAGAGAAATGTGATAGGAGTAGACTTGCATTTAATCAGTGGAATACTTCCATGAAAAAAGGTGACATCACCAGGGAACAAAACCTAAAAGTCATGAAATCAGCAGATAGTTTTATAAAAATAAGGTTAATTAATCAAATGTCACTATTAAATTTTTGTTTTCATGACAACATCCTTTAGACATTCATACCTTCAAGACTCAATCTGTCTCCTTCTCTGTCTCCACTTTTCTGCTTTGGAACAAACTCCAGAAATCTGTCTAAAAGATACTTAAAGAATTGGTAAAATTTGTAAATAACATTTTGAGAATGCAGATAGTTTGGTGTAGAAACTCCCCTTCTATTGTATTAAAGAGAATGTGGGTACAACCTTCAATGAAAAAAATTAGAGAAACCCATGAGATAATATTCCAAAACCATTTATTGAGATATGAGTTGTAACCTCTTGGTATCTGTTTTGAATCCCAGACCAACCAGCTTCTGAGGATGGAAACTGCACGAGTTGCTCTTTCTTCCCAGCTGTTTGACTTTTTTTTTCTTAGGGGGTTAGAGGTTTGCATTCCAGTTGAGACCACACACAGGATTGTGAACAGGTCAGCATGAAGGAGAGTGCGTATTTCCAGAATGGATGTGCCAGACGTTCCATAAAGACATGCTAAAAAAATTTAACTCAGTTTTGCAGATTAGCAATAAAAATATTTCTATTGTTTTTATAAAAACTCAAGCTCCTCAGTGTTTTATTGGAACCTATGCTTTTGTTATATCTGAGCTTTTCACAACTTTTAACATCTTCTCAAATTTAAAAGTAGGTCATATATTTCAGCATATGTAATATAAATGTGTGCCAAATGTTTGTACAATGAGTCATAGCAACATTAAAGAGACTACATCCAAAAATGCAATCTTGAAACCATTCTATTCAAATTATATCTGTTCCTGAAAGTATAACCTCCACATACACCCCAGTTTTTCTACTGACAACCTCACATCCTTGGAGCTATGGATTCTATAGTTTAGCCTTATTTTCTCTGCTTATATGGCAAGTCCGGAGGTTAGACTGTTTAAAGAAGAAATTAGTTATGAGAGAAGTTTAAAGTAGATTTTTTCATTTGAACTTGCATCTTGAAAAAGATGAATACCCAAGCTTTTCTCGGCTTCTGTGATAATGTTCAGTCTCAGACCTAATGAAATACTCAAGTGCTATTATCTCACTTAACAGATACTTGGGAAAGTAGATGCTTGCAAATCCCTTTCCAAACAGGCAGCCACAGAAACAGAACTATCACAAGACTTGGATTGAGGAAGGCGATGATATTTTTAAGTGAGACTTAGAATTTAAGAACCTGAAACTGAACTCTTGAAAGCTCCTGCTTAATCTTTGGAGGTGCCCAGACTCTATCAGCACCTCATTTTTCAATACTGCGTTTCCTCAGATGCCTGAATTTTAGGTCTGCAAAGGCTTAAAAGTAAATCACTGTTGGCATGACTGACAATGGCTTGGCTTCTGTCTCAGATTTAAGTCTCATCAACAGCAGCAAACTTGGTTCCCCAGTTTATTTCCACTGTGCAACTCAACTTGAAAGGCATTCTCTCAGCAAACTTGCCAGCATGAAAGGGGAGATGTAGGAGAGAGGTTAGGCTTGTAGCTGAATGGATCAAGAAGCTTTTAGTGAGAGCCTAAACCTTCTTTGGACTTGGGCCTACACAGTTCACCATCAGCATTGCATGATCTGTGATAATGCAAGAAGTTGAGCCCCACTTTCTTCCCCAAGGGCAAATTCTTTAATCACAGAACTATGATTGCAGTTGCCTGTTGGCTTCTCTTTCTGTCTAGTGAAAGCCTGTAGAGAGCTCAGAAGAAATATCACATCCATTACTAGGTACTGAACTGGAAGAACCGAATGTAAGAATCTGCAAAGAATAACAGAATTAAGAGAGCTCAAAAACCAGTTAAAGAGGTTTAGCAAAGAAAATTCAGATCAGATGTTAAAAAAAACTTAATGACAGGAAAGATAGGGAAGAACTAAGAGACTGTGAAAATCTTTGTAAGATACTTCTGTGATTTTGGGAATGACAGGGATATCGTAGATCCTGACCTGGGTACCTAAGTGTAGCTCTTGCAGTCCTTTCTCTCCTGAGGACTGAAAAAAGGTGGTTTCTTCCTGCCATGTGATACTCCAAACATTTTGGAAATTTATAGAAAAATACGAAGTTTAGTACCTATGTATTACATTTTTCCTTAATTTTCCCTCACAGTGCAATCAAAATTCAGGCTACAAAAGTCAGTGTCACCACATTAATTAAATTCATGTACTGAATAAGTCTGCAAAGGAAGCTCTATTTATCTGAAGACATTTGAAAACAGACAAACATCCTAAAGAGCTTTACTGAAGCCAGAAAGGCTGCATCTAAATAAATGTGACACCACGTGGATCCAGAATACTGTGACACTTTAACAGAGACTTGAGCAATGCTCACATTACCATACTAAAATGAGAAAAGACAGACTATAAAATCCTAACAATCAGACCCACAGCTCCATATGCAGTCCTGTACAGTAACAGGAGCTATCTGGGGGGCAGGGGGAGGGAAACCATATGATAAGGTACCTTTGTCTCACAAGCTATTCAAGCCTTTATTGTGGGAAGGTGGTTTTGCTGAGTGTTAATGAAGAGCAAAAAGGCTCAGAAGCAGTGCTGTACCTGTGCACAAGAAAGGCCTCCTAAGGAGACGCTCTGGAGAATCAATAGCAGCCACAGCAGACTGCAAGGCTTCTTTAATGTCTTTCCACCGTGGAGCCAAAAGATAAAGCCCTGAGGTAAATTCAGCAGCAGGATAAAAACAAAAATTGAAAATAAAAAATTGAAGTTTACTCAGGGAAGCTGCTTCCGGTCATCCTGTGGCAGACTCGCCTCAGCTACTACTGCTTTTGGGCGATCTAATCTGGTTTTGTTTTGCACCATAGACATCTAGAAAAGGGCAGCCTCATTTTAAACTGTCACAGCTGAGGTGGCTGGAGAGGCCAGAGGAACTTAGCCTGTGGTTGCAGCTGCCTAGGAAGGGTTTGGTAAGAGGACAGAAACCTCCTCCTCTGCTGGTGTTTCCATAGGCATCATAGGGAAGGAGGCTCTCCCTGGCCATGCTGGGCTGGAGGACTGGTACTTGATCCAGGGTCCAAGCCCAGTGCTTTCCCACAGGCGCTCCTCTTCAAACACTGGGTGAAAACAAGGTGGAAAAACAAGGAGGAGAGAAACTCCGGGTATCACTCAGCAGAAGTGCCCTTGTATGCCTACTGCAATTATCACACATGTTCACACAGGCACATTTTCACATGTATATAGGCTCACAGAAAAAAAATACTTAAAAAAATAATCAAAATTAGTTTTATAACGATCTTTTCTTGCTAATCTAGAAACTGTAGAAAAATCACAGCCTGCATACCCACAGCTATACAGCACTTCAATAGCTTAGATGGACCCCGTCTGTATGTCAAATGTGTGCAGTACTGGTAAATTATATGATGTTTTGTTTCCCACTGTTATGAAGCTTTACTGTTGGAGCTGTTATAGTGATAAAAAGATTCTTCACCTATTACAGCAACTTTTCTCCAGTGCCTCTGCTCTGTTCTCCCCTAGTGAACTTCAGCTTCTCTCCCTCTCTGTGAATTCACCTTATTGCAGTTAATATTTCCTAGTGATATAAAACTCAAATAACATATTTTTCTCACAACCCCAAGCTAAGTGCATTTTTATGACATTGCAGTACAAATGAAAACCAATTACATTAAAATATAACTGTGCCTAAGTTATGTGCTGTAGGCTTCTGTTGCCCAAGCTAAGATGCGGGGCAAGCAGAGATGTGCCCATTCCTGATTGAAAGCTTTTGTGAGCGAAGCCCTAGCACAGACATAGCTGCTTGAGCAAAACTGCATTTCTACAGGAATAGCTGATTCACTGGGAGAATGGTGTGAATTTATAAATTCAAGTTTTGCCTGTGCCATTACAGACCAAAGGTGCTTCATAAGTAATCAAGCTATGAATCCTCTGCTGCTGAAACATTTCAAAGAGAGTATGTGTTAGGAGGCTTGTTTTGCTCAGTCATACGGACCTACTTAGAAGAGTAGAACTCTGTAGCTGCGGTGTGCAGGTACTGAAAGTTGTCATGTCTATGCTGA